CTACATCACCATCCCCATGGCCTTCCTCTTCCTCATTGTGCGGCACCTTTTCGAGACGTGAGTGACCACTGGGAAACCTCCACCCCCCACCCCAAACCTCCACCCCACACCCCTGGCTCAGCCCCGTCCCCACTCTGGGAGCTGTCACCCATAGGTGGGCTTTTAGGCTCTGTCATCTCGGAGGTCTTCTCCAAGCTCTTGGTTCTGTGGCTCTGCACCCCTCAGGCTCAGCTCTGTGTCTCAGTATGGGCTGGGATTGGTGGTCCCACCTTTGGGTGGGGGGTCTCTGCCCGCCCGCAGCCCCCACCGCAGCGTTGGGGATTCTGTGTGTCCACCCCACACAGCTGTGGCTTTGTGCATCCCCCGCATCTGAGCTGCAATTTGTTGGGCAAACAATGGGGCACAGCCTGAGGTTGGGAACAAACAGGGCTTTGTTGGGAATGGGGGAGAAGGAGCTGCTCTGCATCGCCACGCGGGGCTGACACCCAACCTGGGGCCACAGGGGGGGTGGGCAGCCCCATAGCGCCCACCCTGCTATCTGGGGTGCTTTGGGGGGGTGTCAGCCCGCAGTCACGGGGCTGAGGGTCCGTCTGTCCGTCTGTAGGTACGTGGCCACCCCACTGGCCGGGCTGCTGGGTGTGAAGGAACGCGTCCGACTGAGAGCCACCCCAAATGCAGTGCTGGAGAAATTCTACGCCGCCACCTCCAGGCAGCCCAAACAGGTGAGGTGGGACCCCAGAGAGGCCGAGGGGGCGGTGGGGATGGGGGACAACACGGTGCTGACATTAACCCCCCCCTTTTCTTCCCCTCCAGGCTGATGTGGAGATGCTGTCGAGGAAGAGCGGCTGCTCCGTGCGCCAGGTGGAGCGTTGGTTCCGCCGCCGCCGCAACCAGGACCGACCCAGCCTGCTCAAGAAGTTCCGAGAGGCAAGGTGAGCCCGGCCTGGGGTCCCATCCTGCTGCATTGAAGGTGGAGGTGCCCTGGGTGGTGCAGCTCCTTCTCTGCCCCCCCCTGGGAGGGTGTAATCTGGGAGGTGTGTGTGGGGGGTCCGTCCTCGTCCCTCCATCCCCCAGCTGCGCCCCTGAGCACGGTCTGCTTCCTTTTTCCAGTTGGCGATTCACGTTTTACCTTCTTGCTTTCATTGCTGGCATGGCTGTCATAGTGGATGTGAGTAGTGCCCCCCTCACCGCCGTGCCTGGTGCCCCCCTGCCCTCCCCCATTAATGCTTTTCTCTGTCTCTCTCCCCCCATCCCACAGAAGCCGTGGTTCTACGACCTCCGGGAGGTGTGGAAGGGGTACCCCATCCAGGTGAGCCCCATTCCTACCCCTGTGGGGCTGCCCTCCATTGGATCCCCATGCTTCTGGGGGGGTCCCCTCCATCCCCACCCCTGTGGGGCTGCCCCCCATCGGATCCTGGTGCTTCTGGGTGGGTCCCCTCCATCCCCACAGGGTGATCGATTGGTCAGTGCTTGCTGAGGGGGAGTTGATGGAATCCCTGAGCCCCCCTCCAACTCATCCTTGGCTTTCAGAGCATCCTGCCCTCCCAGTATTGGTACTACATGATCGAACTC